TGGCAGAATCAGCAAAATATCTCACAGCAGAATTCCAGATGATGCTTCAGCAAGACTGTGAAGAGTGACATCATTTGTTGGTGACCCCCAGTAATCCACAGAAGGCCTTTTATTCCATGTTGAACACCACTCCTAGTTCTACAGGATCTTCATGGAAGAAATGAGCTTCATAGTTTACAAGGGAATATATTGCATGGAAGATTAAACTATCTCCCACCCTCAACTCTACTAAACTACTTACCCTTTAGCATGCTGTTTCTTGCCCTCCATTCATAATTCTTGTAGCAAGCCCTCATGACTGCATGGTTTAATATGTGGCACCTTGAAAACAATTCTATTCTCCACTCAATATTGATTTCCTGTTGTCATATCTTTATTCTTTTAAAAATTATTATTATTATTTTATATATTCAATCACTATACATCACTACAACTTGTAAAATGAATTTACCCAACATGAATACTCTGCACAGCAGTCCAGTTACAGATATCATAGACGTTATCATCAATAGACAAGCCTCCAATTCTGTGTCCCTTAAATATCTTACTGTATATTTTTCTCTTTGATTCCTTTCTTCTTACTCTCCCCCATCTCCCACCTCTTTTCACACTGTCTTCTGTATCCATAACCACTTTTCATGCTTCTACAAGTCTGTGAGAAAAACTTCCTTGATAGAATTTTACTTTATTTAGTAATTTTTTTTTGGTAGAGATTTTTGCTATAGGGCACGTGTGCTCGCCAGAAAGAGAGAGACAGGCAGAGAGCGAGAAATCCCCCCCAGGGGGTATGGCCATGCTGCAATCCCTTCTCCATTCTCCTCTCAGATTCTTGGGCATGCACGCACACGTGCCTGGCATGAATTCAAGCCACTGGGTCTGGGATTCCATCCACATACGGTTGACTCCATGAGAGTTCAGCAATATAGCCACTACCCATCTGCTGGTCCCCCTATTTAGTAATTTTTTAAGTTACATGCTTACAATGTGTGTATTTATATTATAAAAGAAGATGTTTTCATATCTATATATCTAAGTCTATATCTATATCTATATATATTTCAATGGCTATATCTAACCATTTAACATATGCATTAATTTATACAATTATGTATGTGTGTGTGTGATGAGAACACTTAAAATCTACTCTTGTGGGGTCAGCAGGTGACACGATGGGTTAATGTGCTGGATCCCACATGGCCAACTGTATGGTTCAAGTCTGAGCCAAGTGTGTGCTGTACTCCAGTCACATGAGCATGTTTATATATGAATTCTCCCCACCCCTATTGTACTCAGAACTGAGCCTAATCATTGTCTCTCACTGAAAATTCTCATTGCCATGTTCCTTATACATACTTCCATGCTCTTTAGAACACTTTATATTATGCTTAAAGAATTTGAAGCAGTATAGCCCTAGTTTTGGAATTTAAAAGTATTTTTATCTATAGAAATGGTCAAATTGTGTTACTTTTTCATAAACACTTGATATAAAGATGTCTCCATTCATATATAGGATGGATCTGGTATCGCTAAGCAGGTCTACCATACTAATTGAGCTATGGAGAGTTGTTCAGTGCTTAATTTTATTTGCTTCATATGTCATAAACTGAGAGAGATGAATTCAATTTTTCTTTACTTTAAAATTTTTGACTTTTTTGGGCTGATTTTCCTTTATGAAAGAACGTTTTATTCAACACTGGAGTATTGCATAGTTTTTCAAATGCCAAGTAGTAACCCATAGTGTAAGAAAGGGGATTGGTAGTTGCTTGGATAAAAGTGATGGATATAAAAAAAAATACAACGGCACTTTTGGAAGGATGCATATGTTCATTACCTTCAGCGAGGCTATATATTAATGGGTGTATATGTGCTTCAAAACATATAAAACTATACACTATAAATGTGTGCAGTTTATATTATGTCAATGATGCCTCAGTTAGGTGGTTAAAAATAAAACAACTTGGAATAAAATCTATAAGCAATAAAAGAGAAATAGGAAGAAATCAACAACTGTATTATAAACACAAACTAGTTAGAAGTTAATGAAATAGCGGAAGAGCTTTTTTAAAATAATGAATACTATCTATATAATAACAAAAATGTGTGTAAATTAGTAGCTTGTAAAGAGCCACAATGTTATATTTCATTGTTTGTTGACCAGTCACAAATGTAATCATGTTGTAGCTCAATGTTTCTCAAAAATGGTCACCTTCCAGACACATTTCAGGAGATTTTTACTATCCACACATTTGAGCCCAAGTCTTGAGCTTTTGGTTCTGTTGGTTTAGGCAAGAAGGTAGGGCTGGAAGTGTGTATTCCTTAAGAGCTCCCAGAAAACTGATAAAAGAATTAAAGATTAGAAAGGGCCAGCAGGTGGTGTGGTGGTCAAGGGCACTGGATTCCCACACAGCTGACCACTGTTCGAGTCCCAGACCTCGAGGCTTCCTTTCTCACTTTCTTTCTCTCTCTTTTTCTCTCTCTCTAACTCTGTCCCTCTGTGGTCAAATAATAAATAAATAAATAAATAAAACTAAATAAAATAATTCTTTAAAAAAGAATGAAAGATTAGGGATTCTTGTAACTGAGCACAATCCATTTATTTATTTTAATTTATTTTATTATTATTTTAAAAATTTTGTAAGAGGGTGCATACTTTCACTGGAGAGAAAGAGAGAGGGAGGGAGGGAGGGAGGAAGGGGGAGAGAGAGAGAGAGAGAGAGAGAGAGAAGAGTAGAGTAGAGGAGAGGAGCGGGGAGTGAGAAGAGGAGAGGAGAGGAGAGGAGAGGAGAGGAGAGGAGAGGAGAGGAGAGGAGAAAGTCAGAAATCACTCCCATGAGAAATGATCATGCTGCATCCCTTCTCCATCTCTCTGTCCTTTTGAGATTTGGGGTACAAATGCACATGTGCCTGATGTGTTTCTCAAACCACCAGGTCCAGAACTCGAACCACACAGTCAGCCAAGTGGGATCCAGCTGCCTTACTACATGTCACCATATAACCTTCCTCTAAATAACAAACAAAATGTAGAAATCAAATTAGTTATCAGTAGAACACATACTTATGAATATCTGACATTAGAATGTAAAGAAATCAGACAATTTACTAAGAAATATAAATCCTTCAAATTTGACTCTTGAACAAAAAGAGAGCACAAATCTTAAAGAATGTTCAAATTGTAGAATAACTTTACATATGACACAAAAATATGCAGAAAACCAAAATGCCTATTTCCTCTGGAAGCTCTTCCACTCTTTAAACCTTTCAAGGAGTTCTCATCAGGTCTTATCAGAATAACAAAACACTTGAGTGCAAAGGTACAGTCCAGGAGCCCTGCACTGGAGGCCAAGGTAAAGAAGACCTCCACGGCCACCATGACCTTCCCCTTGGTGCTGTGGTAGATGGGCAGGAAGGTGACCTAGACACTGCAGAAAAGCAGCATGCTGAATGTGAGGAACTTGGCCTCATTAACATGTCAGGCAGGTTCCTGGCCAGGAAGGCCACTGTGAAGCTCCCCAAGGCCAGGGAGCCCAGGTAGCCCAGGACACAGTAGAAGGCAGTGACTGAGTCCTTGTTGCACAGGATGATGAGGCTTCTGGGCTCAGAGTGTGAGTCTGTGTCAATGAAAGAGTTCCCTGCCAGATTCAATAGATGATCACTTTGGATCAGGGAGCAGATGGGAATGACAGAGTTAGAGACCACTGACATCAGCAAGTATGTCATTATTCTTTGAGGTATGATGGCCTTGAATGCCAAATCACAGTAACAGTTTGGTCAGAATTGTGAAAATAGCCACAGTGAACACAAATGCAAATGTGACCTGTATGCAGATGCAAAAAAAGAGGGAGCGCCATTGAAGAGCAAGGAGCAGAGGAAGCACAGCAGGAGGGAGATGAGCAGGATGAAGCTGAGAACCTGGTTATTGGCCTTGACTATGGGAGTGTCTTGATGCTTCACAAAGACCTCCAAAACCACAGCTGTCACAACAGACAAGCAGAGAGCTATGTAGACCAGAGCCATCTCCAAAGAGTCTTCGAAGTCCAGGAAGGTCATAGGATTTAGGAGGCAATGACTTCTCTCACTGGAAACTCTTGAGCTGGATTCCATAGAACACCAGATATGCAGCAGAGTATCTGGGGAGAAAGCAAATTCTTAACATTTGAGTGTCTGGGATATCCTAACTTACATTACTCCCCTAATGTCTAATGATAACATAAAACTTAATTCACTCAGTGTTTTGAATGTGCTGTAACAGTTCTTGTACATTATTTTATTTTATCTTTATTTATTTATTTATTTATTGGAGAGGCCATCCCCAGGGGGGGATGGCCATCCTGCAATCCCTTCTCCTCCATTCTCCTCTCAGGATCTTGGGCATGCACATACTTGCTCCCAGCAGTAGTTTAATCCACCGGATCCAGGACTCAAACCACAGTCGACTATATGGGAGTCCAGAGACATAGCCATTATGCCAACTGCTGGTCCTAATTTTATTTTATTTAATATTTTTACAATTAAAGTATGAATTTATTTTGGCACAAAATCTTTTGAAATTCATGCATAGTTCTCCCAGGACACGTATTTCCATGAGCTGTTTCTTTTTTTTCCTGAAAGGTTTTCAATGTATTAATTTATATTCATTCCCTAAGCATTGTCACAGCATACAATATGTGATTTCCCATCCAGAATATACTGCATAGTGGCTTAATCATGTATGCTATCCTTAATAATTTTCCACTCCTAGTTTTATAAACGTATATATATCCCCTACTTCTGACCCTCTGCCCTTTCCCACCGTCCTCTCACACTATCTCTGATGTCTACAGTTGTTTTCCATTCCTTTCCCCCCCACATTTTATTGATCACGTAATTTCTTAAATAATCTAACTACTTTCAATAGCAAGTTCAGTTGATAATTTCAATGAAAGCACTTTTAACTTTAACGAATCAAAGAAATGCTAAGGAACTTTGTTTAAAACTTAAAGCCAGGAAACAGGTTAGGATTCAGTTCAAATAGTAGGTACATGAACTTATCAACAGCTCAAGACAGGAAAATAATCCTTAAAACCAGAAAACAAAGCCTAGAGGAAAATTAGCAATGTTTTAGTCAGAAGTCATAAAATGCTATTTCAGCAGTTCAGTTTAATGCACTTAATTTATCTTCTGTTGTGGTTCAATCTTCTCGATTAAATTCTGGAATATAGTGTTCAGCTCCAGACTTGTCCCCACGGCAAGTAATGTAACAGTTCTTGTTCATTATTTTATTTTATCTTCATTATTTATTTACTTATTTATTTATCGGAGAGGTTTTTGCTATAGGGCGCGTGAGCTCACCAAAAAGACAGAGAAAGACAGAGAGACAGAAAGCGACAAATCACCCCCCAGAGGGATGGTCATTTTTTTTAGTTTTTGAACTCTTCCTTCTGTGTGTCAGTATTTAATTTTCCTAGTATAGCACTCCCTTCAGAACTTCTTGGATACCTGGTCTGGTGCTGGTAGATTATTTCAGGTTTTATTTTTCTGAGAATGCTCTTCTCTTTTCTTCCCATATGAAAGATAATCTTGCCGGGTACAGTATTTTTGGTTGAAATGGCCTTTCTCTTAACACTTTAAATATATTTTCCCATTCTTTCCTCACTTACATTGTTTCTGACGAGAGGTCTGCTGTTAGCCTGATGGGATATCCTTTGTAGGTAACTTGCCATTTTTCTGTTGCCAATCTTAGTATCTTGTCTGTGGTTTTGATCAATCTGGCTATAATGTGTCTTGGAGAGGGGCTTAGTTTGATTCTATTTGGGGTCCTTTATATTTCTTGGGATTGGAACTTTGAGTGCCTCTCTAGGTTTGGAAAGTTTTCTCGCAGGATTTCATGGAATAGATTATTGATGCCCTTATGAGTCTCTTCACCTTGTGGGATACCAATTATACAGCAGTTTGGGTGTTTGATGGTATCTAGTATTTCTTGTATATTATTCTAATTTTTTTGGCAATTTTCTCAGTCTTTGTGGTGGAGTTTTCTAGGCCAGAGATTCTATCCTGTATGTCTGAGATTAAATTTTCTGTATGATCTAGTCTGCTTTTATAGTCTTCATCTCTAACAGATCTATTTGATTGTTTTATAAAGTGTGCATTTCCTCTTTTAGATCTTGCAAGAATTTCCTCACCTTCTGGACCTCATCAGCTCCTTTTTCCTGCCTCTTCTGCAGTTCATTGTCTCTCTTCTATCTCTGTTAGGTTCTTTATTATGAATATTCTCAATTATTTATCAGACATTTCCATGATTTCCATTAAACTGTCTGTGGATAAAGAGTAGTTATTCTTTTCCCTTGGAGGAGAGTTATTTTCTTGCTTTCCCGTATTTCTTGTGACCCTGCAGTGATTTCTAGTCATCTGATTGATGGTGTTCTTCCTAATTCTTGATGTTCAATCTTTCTAAACATTCAGGAACATGCAGAAGGAAGTGATCTGGAATCTCTTTGCCGTTTCACTTCTATCCCTTTTTCCAGTAGATTTGGTGGATATTGAGGAATGTGAGCGTACAGAAGGAGGTGATCTGGAGTCTTTTTGCCTTTCCATTTTTATCCCCTTGTGCAGCAGATTCAGTGGATATTGAGGAATATGTAAACCTTAATAGTATTTGGATGTTTGGCTATGGTTCCCTTAGTTCTGTCTATAAACACAGTGAATGGAGATTGAGGAGTAGAGTGATGAGATAAAAGAAAAAGAAAAGGAAACAGGGACAGAGAGAGAGAAAAAAAAAGAAACAGAGAGAAAAAGAAGAAGAAAAACTTTATTATTTATTTAAACAAAACAAAAAAAAGAAACAGAAAAATAAGAAAAAATAAAAATCAACCAAATAAAAAAAAATGCATGGCTTGTAAAATCACTAGTTCTCAGGAGCCATGGAGGAGTCTTCTTCTGAAGGCCTACCCTTTGCCACTCCTAGATGGGAGGAGGAAAGGGGATTATTAGCAAGATAAATGAGGGGGCTGAAAACCAAGAGAATACTTTACCTTAAAACTTTAAAAAGGAAATATTACCAAAAAATGAGGAGACAGAGACAGAGGCAGAAAGAGACAGAGACAGAGAGATTATTAGAGTGGCTTCCTACACTCAAGTTTGGGAGCCAGAGGCTGAATTATCAGTAGAAAATCTTCATTTCATTTTTTCCCTGAAATCACTAGTTTTCAGGAGGCAAGGAGGTGTCTTCTTCTGAAGGTCTGCCTCTTGCCTCTCCTGGATGGAGGAAAATTCTATGTTTAATTTTTTGAAGGAGTGATCATACTCTTACCCACAGCAACTACACCATTTTACATTCTTTTTTTTTCTCCTCTTTTCTTCCCTCATACATTTTCTAAATACTTTTTCTCTGCAATTTTATTTTATTTTATAATTTCTCTTTGTGGTTAAAATTGTTTCTCATTTATTACTCTATGATTTCTTATTCACATTTAATTGTTGTGTATCTCTATAGCACACAATAATGGTTTTTCATGTGAGTGCATGCCCAGAATCCTAGGCGAATGGATGAGAAAGGATAGCAGCATGGTCATTTTCACATTCTCTCTTAGTGTCTCTCTCTTTTTCTCTTTGGTGAGTGAATATGCTCTATGGATAAAATCCTAAAAGTTAAAAAATCTGTATGTGGTAATATGCTTGATTTGATTGTCATCTATTGCATGCATTCTTTGAAAAATCATATTGTATGCCATAAAGACCTTCAACAATTAAATGTAAATAAGAAATACTTAACATACATAAGTGTAAAATTCTCCTTGTAAATTATATGTGTGGGGACCAGCAGGTGGCTTGGTGGTGATGACATTGGGCTCCCACATGGCCAAATGCAGTTCGAATCCTGGACCTAGTGGCTTGCTTTCTTACTTTCCCTGTTTTTCACTCTGTCTCTCTTTCTGGTGAGTGTAAAAAATTACTAGTGAAAGATTTTTCACAATGCTTACATTTTTAAGGGTTTGCTGTAATGTGAGTTATCACATGGTTCTTAACAAATGAGATCATCTGTTAAGTTTCTTTCCATCATGTATTCTCTACTTAGCCAAGGTTTTTCCACTCCCTGTCTCCTTTCTTCATAACCCATTCCTCATACCATACCATATGGCTTCCACCACTAGCATCTCAAGGACAATATTCATGGTAGAATCACCAATGAACCTTAGAATAACAAAGATGTAGATTGTAACTAACTGGTACTATCTCCTATGTGTGAGATCAATAGAGACACAGTGGATTAAACCCTTTATTAGCAAGGCTATAAGAAAAGGCACTCTTATGGAAAATGTGTCAGTGACAAGTGAAGCTACAGAAATATGTACTCTTAAATTCCCTATCAATCCTATTTCTAGGAATTGAGCTCAAAGATAGTCAAACACTAAAAAGCCCATGTAAGATTATTCACTGTGGTATTATTTCATCATGGAAAGTGAAGCAACTGGAGCAAACTTTCTGGGAATTTGTACTGAAATGTATCAGTTGGCCCTGACCTCCTCCTGGGTCTCTTGGTCCAAGGAATGTGTACTGGATGATCTTCATGTTTTCAGCCTCTGGAGAAGGAGGGATTCAGGACAGGAATCAATGGAGAGCAAGGAGGTGGTGCCTGCCTTCAAGTCCATCCCCAAACTTTATATTCTTCCGGAACTTGGATGAAGACCTAACCCTGAAACTATTTTCCTTTATGTCAGATTTTCTCCTTAGCCATTCTCAGCAGTCTAGGTGCTCGCTGCTTCTTGGAGCTAAGTGGGAATCTCCAGCCCTTCTTCCACTGTAGATCCCCACCCTCCAGTCAGCATAGTTGCCAGGTATCTAACTCTTAGGGGCCCTGTGGTTGTTATAATAGCAACCCCCCAGAATTCACATACACACCTGAAAACTGCAGTTAAACATAAAATCTTAAATTTCTTAATAATATGCAAGAAAATCTGTATTATTTCTCTATAGTCACACAGCACTTTTTTTAATTGCCAGAGGGTGCATGTGCTTACCAGAGACAGAGAGAGGGGATGAGGTAGAAAACGATCCTCATGCTGCAACCCTTT